CAGTAGGGCGGCTGTACTTTGATAGCACAGATCAGTACAGTTCAATCCAGTGCGTAGGCCTGGACTACAGCACGGAAGATTCCGACGTGGCTCATCTAAGGTGTGTGACCCACGACGCAGCATTACTTCCGTTGGTGAAGGGCCAGCAAGAGAAAGCCTACCGGACTTACAAGAGCATAGCGCCAGAGACGTGGCGCAAGTGTCAGGGCCTGTGTGTGGTCATCTCGCATCCTCACGGCCTGGCCAAGGCTATAACCGTGGGCGCCCACGTCATGTTCGAAGTGACCAGAAACAACAGCCGCGCCCATTACTACAACGCGGCCACGTGCCCGGGCAGTTCAGGGGCTCCCGTGCTTTACGTCTGTCAGAGGGAAGAGGGCGCCCACCCTATGTGGGTGCCAGCTGTTCATAGCTACCACTGCCGTGTGACAAATTTCAACTGTGCTTTTAAATAAATTTCGAATTATGCAAACGGCAGGCGTGGGTTGAATGTGTCATTAATAGAATGGAGTTGTGTTGCAAGCCAGTGACCTATGAGTTTACATGATCATTTGCTGGCGTTATGCATTGCATAACCTCGATCAATGTTCTACCGTTACCAACCCAAAAGTTGATCAATTTTCTAAATTTGCAACCTCAAGTCGATCAATCTTCTAAGTTTCCAACCATGAATTCCAAAAAGGAGGAGCCAATCGACCTAAAATTTGAAATAAAATGACCTATTCAGATCAAAACTTGAAATACACGAGGAATCTAACAACACTCCCAGTAACGACTTGCGTTGGTCAGAAATTTTAAGCAAAAGTTCAATCACTCTCCCCCCTCCCCTTTTTTTGGAGGGGGAGGGGGGGCGCCACTTGGTTTTTGTTCATTCCAATGTCAATGGAATCACATCAAGTAGAAACTAATAAATCAGCTTCATCGACATTATTCTATATGTAAATATTTCATGTGCAATGTTCCATCTTGGGACAACTTCCTTTTCTATCTCACTGCTTACAGATCTATCCACTGACCTATCAACTGATCTATCCACTGACCTATCAACTGATCTATCCACTGACCTATCAACTGATCTATCCACTGACCTATCAACTGATCTATCCACTGACCTATCAACTGATCTATCCCACTAACATATCAACTGATCTATCCCACTAACCTATCAACTGATCTATCCCACTAACCTATCAACTGATCTATCCACTAACCTATCAACTGATCTATCCACCGACCTATCAACTGATCTATCCACTGACCTATCAACTGATCTATCCACTGACCTATCAACTGATCTATCCACTGACCTATCAACTAATCTATCCACTGACCTATCAACTTATCTATCCACCGATCTATCAACTTATCTATCCACCGACCCATCAACTTATCTATCAACCGACCCATCATCTGACCTATCAACTTATCTTTCCAACGACCTATCAACTGATCTATCAACTTATCTATCCACTGACCTATCAACTTATCTATCCACCGATCTATCAACTTATCTATCCACTGACCTATCAACTTATCTATCCACCGATCTATCAACTTATCTATCATCTGACCTATCAACTTATCTATCCAATGACCTATCAACTGATCTATCAACGTATCTATCCAATGACCTATCAACTGATCTATCAACTTATCTATCCACTGACCTATCAACTGATCTATCAACGTATCTATCCAATGACCTATCAACTGATCTATCAACTTATCTATCCACTGACCTATCATCTGACCTATCAACTTATCTATCCACTGACTTATCAACTGATCTATCAACTTACCTATCAATCGGCCTATCAACTTATCTATCCACCGACCTATCAACTGACCTATCAACTTATCTATCCAATGACCTATCAACTGATCTATCAACTTATCTATCCACTGACCTATCAACTTATCTATCCACTGACTTATCAACTGATCTATCCACCAACCTATCAACTGGCCTATCAACTTATCTATCCACTGACCTATCAACTTATCTATCCACTGACTTATCAACTGATCTATCCACCAACCTATCAACTGGCCTATCAACTTATCTATCCACTGACCTATCAACTGACCTATCAACTTATCTATTCAATGACCTATCAACTGATCTATCAACTTATCTATCCACTGACCTATCAACTTATCTATCCACTGACTTATCAACTGATCTATCCACCAACCTATCAACTGGCCTATCAACTTATCTATCCACCGACCTATCAACTGACCTATCACCTTATCTATCCACCAACCTATCAACTTATCTATCCACCGACCTATCAACTGATCTATCAACTGACCTATCAACTGATCTATCAACTGACCTTTCAACTGATCTATCCACCGACCTATCAACTGACCTATCAACCTCACCATCCAACAACCTATTAACTTATCTATCCACCGACCTATCAACTGATCTATCAACTGACCTATCAACTGATCTATCAACTGACCTTTCAACTGATCTATCCACCGACCTATCAACTGACCTATTAACCTCACTATCCAACAACCTATTAACTTATCTATCCACCTACCTATCCACTGACCTATCAACTGACCTATCAACTTATCTATCCACCGACCTATCAACTGATCTATAAACTTATCTTTCCAACGACCTATCAACTGATCTATAAACTTATCTATCCACTGACCTATCAACTGATCTATAAACTTATCTATCCACTGACCTATCAACTGATCTATAAACTTATCTATCCACTGACCTATCAACTGATCTATAAACTTATCTATCCACTGACCTATCAACTGATCTATAAACTTATCTATCCACTGACCTATCATAACAAGTTATTTGATAAATCTTCTACTTCCAATCCCCTTTATAAAATACTTCCAAATAAACCTTCCTCCTGGCAAGTCTAAAGTCAGGCAGAGGACTCCAAGAATGTTTTCACTTTACAAGTAACCAGGTAATACATTTCACTTCACAAGTAACCAGGTTATACATTTCACTTTACAAGTAACCAGGTTAATACATTTCACTTCACAAGTAACCAGGTAATACATTTCACTTTACAAGTAACCAGGTAACACATGTCACTTTACAAGTAACCAGGTAATACATTTCACTTCACAAGTAACCAAGTAACACATTTCACTTCACAAGTAACCAGTTAATACATTCCACTTCACAAGATGTTTCATCAATTTCGATAAAATCCCCACACACAAACTTTGGTTTTTGTAACATTCTCCTTGTGAGAGCTCCTCCTTTGTCAGTAAACAATTGTCAAAATGTGTCTATTGTTACACATCTAGAGTCACCTCAGCCATCCTTTGAGTTTGTCTTGCAATGACAGATATAATGTGGAGTGACACGACCCCCTCCATCAGATCATTGTCGGCTTTTGTTACAGATCAAACTCAAGTTTCAAAGATCAAAACTTCAAAACACATAGCTTTGCCCATAGCATAAAAGCAAATGCGTTGTTAGGCTATTTTTCTTGCTTTAAAAATGTAAATGTATGTATATTATATATGATGCATTTAATTACAACGTTGATTAACGGACAGTTTTAAAATAGGTCAGCAATTCTAAATGTAACAGGATCAACATTAAGTTCAGTTCTATTTTCATCTTAGGACTTCTTCTTTACTGAATTATTAGGTGATAATAATATTACTGGATGCTTTATATGACAAACTTGTAAATGCCTCACATGTACGGTACTGGTACTCAGTGGTTCTGGTACTCGGTGCTTCTGGTACTCGGTGCTACTGGTACTTAGTGCTACCGGTACTCAATGCTACCGGTACTCAGTGCTACCGTTACTCATTGCTTCTGGTACCTCAGTGCTATTTGTACTCATTGCCTCTTGTACTCAGTGCTACTGGTACTCAGCCTCATTGCTTATGGTACATCAGTGCTACTGGTACTCATTGTTTCTTGTTCTCAGTTCTACTGGTACTCAGTGCTACTGGTACCTTTGACAAAATAAAATGCTTGTGTGATGACTGTGCAGCAATTTTAAATAGGAACAAAATTCATGAAATAACTTGACACCATGTTTTATTGTTGTGTAAAAATGTAGGCTAACATTAAGAGCGTCATAGTTCATTGTTTTATTCATCGACCTATGACCTATGGCTATACAAACAAAGGAATGTTCAAAATAAAATAATAGCCAACACGAGAGGTGATTTTTGTACAAATCAAATAAACATACAGTTGTGTTATACTACACCAAGGTCTTCATAAATATTAAAACAAATGGATTGGAAGTAAAATAGTGAATGAATACTACGTGTAAAATTAATCAATTGTTTAAAATTAAATTTATTGTGATAAAATAAACATGTGCACTTCAATCAATAAAAATTATATCAATAAAGTTTGCAACATAAAATATTTCTAGAAGCCTCATTTCATTTTGATAACTTATCATATTTACTAAACTTGACAAATTCTTGTTCGTTGTAACTAAACTTGGGAATATGTTTTTTTTTAAAATATAACAGTAATCAACAGAACTAAGCCTTGAAGTAGTTTATTACTGGCACAAATATATCAAGCAGTCATCGATGGTGATCTATTATTTACCTACTTTGGACATTGGAAGTGCCATTGAGTAGCATCAGCCCAATTTTCGCCAACTCAAACTCATTTAAAAAAATGCCTTTTCTGATCTCTTTATACTGGTTAACCAACAGGCAGGATATATTTTTTTAACAATTTTATTATACATAACCTCCAAAATAAAATAAAATCTCTACAGTAAATCATAATAACCCTAAAATAAAAATCCTAACATGACAAACCCCTAAAAAAAATGAAACATCTAAAATAAATCCTAACATGACAAACCCCTAACAAAAATGAAACATCTAAAATAAATCCTAACATGACAAACCCCTAAAAAAAATGAAACATCTAAAATAAATCCTAACAAGACAAACACCTAAAAAAAATGAAACATCTAAAATAAATCCTAACATGACAAACCCCTAAAAAAAAAGAAATATCTACAATAAATCCTAACAAGACAACCCCGCAAAAAAATAAGCAACTGTTAACATGAAGATTCACATTTTTTAAATATTTAAAATTATCACTTACTTTGAATCCATTCAGTGTATAAATTTTTTTTTACAAAGCATAAGATTGCACAAATTTAAATAGTCATGTCATAATGACCTAGAGTCTAATATTAAATCAAGCAATTTCTAGAACACAGCATTCCCACAGCCTTTAAACACCGGAAACCCTGTCTATGTAGAATGACTTGGTTCATTAAGCCTCACTTAATCCACTCTCACATAATATTTTAATATGAAAAAAGACTGAAATAATCTGCACTTGCATCTGTCACCATAGCATTGGTTATACATGATGAAAACTTTGTTCTTTCAGGACAAAGCGCAATAGAGTATTTGTAAAAATGATGAATTATTTAACCAGTAAAAATAGGCGTACGTGTGCCACGTCAACAAATCATACTGCTGAATCAACACGGCCGAATACAGACGCTCTTCATTAATTTAATGGACGATGGTTGGCCAGATTTAATATCAACTTTAGACGAGGATTTATTTATTACACACAAAAAGAAATTTGGTGCTCGCTAGATCTAAACATTCTGTTACTGTTCATGAAGACTTTGATTAATAGGTGACACTATAAGTGGTGGAATCCAACTAGTAATTTCATTGAATAAACAGAGATACATTAAACAAATCTTTAAACACAACTTTGTAAATAAAGTTTTTAAAACTTAGTATTGCAACAAGTTCAAGGTTATTGAGCAATGAAACACAAAACAAATTATTTTTTTTTAAAGATCGGGTAAGATTGGGCGCAATTCTATCTCAAAAGTGGAATGGCTGAATGTTTCCCATTGGCAAGACTTTGTAAATGAGGAGGGGTGTGGGAGGGGTGTGTGTGTATGTAACTCCCTACACTTGTCCACACATTGATGAGCTGATTACTTGTGTATCTGCTAAATCATCCAAGGAAGCAATTTTCATAAACAGTCATAAATAAAATCAGGAAAAAATCAACGAAAACTTGAAGCAAATCAAAGTGTGTACAGTACTGCATTAAGAACAAGATGACCACATGTCATTCAGTCAACAGTCTCATTCAGTCCAGACAAAGTGTGTATAGTACTGCATTAAGTGCATGGTGGCCACATGTCATTCAGTCAACAGTGTCATTCAGTTAACACTGACAGTGTCATTCAGTCCAAACAAAGTGTGTATAATACTGTATTAAGTACACAGTGACCACAAGTCATTCAGTCAACAGTGTCATTTGTTAACACTGACAGTGTCATTCGGTTAACACTGACAGTGTCATTCAGTCAACACTGACAGTGTCATAGTCAACACTGACAGTGTCATAGTCAACAATGACAGTGTCATTTAGTCAACTTTGAAATGTATGGCAAGAGCTAACAGGTCAGTGAGTTTGAAAACTTAGAGACATTAAGAGTCATTTGTTATTCCAACTGTCATTTAAACTGTCACTGCCAGTTTCCCTCATCATATACCCTGCATGTCATTTCATCCTGACACTTTCAGGTTCCATCATCTTATACCCTGCATGTCATTTCATCCTGTCACTTGCAGTTACCCTCATCTTATGTCATGAATGTCATTTCATACTGACACCTTTGTTACCTTCATCTTATACCCTGAATGTCATTTTATCCTGTCACTGCCAGTTTCCCTCATCTTGTACCCAAATGTCATTTCATCATGTCACTGCCAGTTTCCCTCATCTTGTACCCAAATATCATTTCATCATGTCACTGCCAGTTTCCCTCATCTTGTACCTAAATGTCATTTCATCCTGACACTGCCAGTCTCCCTCAGTTTTAAACTGTCTTGTCTGAAGTTTGTGACACAGTGATTGACTTCTCAGTCTGGTCTTGGTCGGCTGAGTCCTCAGTCAGGCCACTGCTCTGTTGGTCTCGGAGTGTCGTGATCAACTTGTCCACCAGCACAGACAGGACTTTATCCAGTGGATCCATGAACCCTCGCTGGACCCACTTGGGGATGGTGACCCTGGCATGTGAGAAGCCGAGCTTCTGAAGGACGTAGTCAGCTCCTACGGGGTCAATCTGGGTGCTGGCCCAGTGGATCAGTCTGAGAGACACAAGTGTAACAACAAATTACTAGCAACACAAGTGTAACAATAAGTTACATAGAGACACAAGTGTAACATTAAATTACAATAGACACATGTTTAACAACAAATTACTAGTGTCACAAGTGTAACAATAAATTCCATAGAGACACAAGTGCAACAATATGCTACATACATACACAAGCGTAAAAATAAATTCCATAGAGACACAAGTGCAACAATATGCTACATACATACACAAGCGTAAAAATAAATTCCATAGAGACACAAGTGCAACAATACGCTACATACATACACAAGTGTAACAATTAATTCCATAGAGACACAAGTGCAACAATACGCTACATACATACACAAGTGTAACAATTAATTCCATAGAGACACAAGTGCAACAATACGCTACATACATACACAAGTGTAACAATTAATTCCATAGAGACACAAGTGCAACAATACGCTACATACATACACAAGTGTAACAATTAATTCCATAGAGACACAAGTGCAACAATACGCTACATACATACACAAGTGTAACAATTAATTCCATAGAGACACAAGTCCAACAATACGCTACATACATACACAAGTGTAACAATTAATTCCATAGAGACACAAGTGCAACAATACGCTACATACATTCACAAGCGTAACAATAAATTCCATAGAGACACAAGTGCAACAATACGCTACATACATACACAATTGTAACCATTAATTACATTGAGATCTACCTGCGGCAGACATACCTGAGACAGACCTAAATGAGACAGAACCACTGAAATAGGCCTACCTGAGTGTTGGTTCCAGTTGCCAAGTCTTGCACTCAAACGTCCTATAATCATGTTTTAATGCAGATGTGGGGTCAGAAAGTTTGGGCTCAGACTTGGCCAGTTTGGTTCCAGAAGATCGACCAACCGAGCCTGAAATATTTCATTTGTGTTATTTAATTCTCATTTCAGTAAATTTTCATACTGCAGTAAAAGCCATCCCAGTGCCGCAGTAAAAGCCATCCCAGTGCCGCAGTAAAAGCCATCCCAGTGCCGCAGTAAAAAACAGCAAAAAATCATCCCAGTGTTGTTAAAAGGCGCTTACAAGAGAGCAAAAATGTTTGAATTCGTAAATTATTTAATCATAATTAGATCTTTACACATATTGTTCATTTTACAAAAATTGTATGTGTCTCATTAAACTACTTAAAAGCTTTACTTGCAGTCAAAACCTCTTATTAAGAGAGGGGAAAAAAATTAGTTTAAGACCAAGTTCTTGAGCAAATAGTGATGACATAATTGACCTAAGTATCTAGTCACTTAGTAAATGTGTGTATGTTTTTTGTTGTTGTTATATGTGCATGAGTGTTTGAATAGAGACGGATGTTGTCAATAAATATGCCAAAATGCAGATCAATCAAAGATTGCCTACCCCGATCTTTCTCTCTAATGTATGAAGAAACCAGATCATGGAGGAAAAGAATAACCTCGGCATCCATGGCCACGTAGATGTGATCATAAAACTCTGCTACAAAGCTGCACTCTACCGCTGGACGGTCTTCTGCACACACAAAAAAAATCATATAAAATAGTTAGAAAAATTATTTTTTTCCCCAGCTCCAAGCACTCAGTTTAAAGTCAAATTTTTCCAAGCAGGGGGACTGTACACAAGCAAGTGGGGCTGTACACAAGCAAGGGGGTCTGTACACAAGCAAGCGGTGCTGTACAAAAACAAAGGGGTTCTGTACACAACCAAGGTGGTCTGTACACAAGCAAGGGGCCTGTACACAAGCAGCGGGTATGTACACAAGCAAGGGGGTCTGTATAAAGGCAAATAACTGGAATTTAATTTGTGAATATTAAAATAACGTAATTATAATTTGTTGATCAGGAATTAACACTAAGAGAGATAACCTTTAGTAGACTTTTGCATTTTCAGAATAGGAAATTGTCTACTCTTTCCAATTCTTTAATTCAATTATTTCTAACATTCTTTACACACGTCATGTTAAAAAACTAGTGTCACAAAGATGCTGGCCACCTCTACATTCTAGAAGTGAGATCAACTCAGCACTGACATGGGGAACAGACCAGCTTGAAACAAGCTGACAAATACTTCAAATGCAAACATAAGGACTCTTCCCAACAACATACCCATAGCAGTGAGAAAGGTCAGAGCGAGACAAAGAACGTGCTATTTACCATTTTCCTCTGGGGGGTTCTCTCCTTGAAAGTGTGACGTCTTTAGGTTCATGTACATGGAAGGGAAGGCAAAGATGACTTCTGTCTCGTGACTGTAGTAGGCAGCCTTGACCTTGCTGAACTTTCTACCCCCTTCCTCTTCAAGACGAACACCAGGAAATTCTGTCACAACTGGATGGGTTCAAATATTAGTAGGATTAAAATCTGTAAAAAGCCCTCCATACAAATAAATGCGTTTGAAAGGAAAAGTATAGCTAGCACAAGGTCCAAGTAACTACCCATCCATAGCACAAGGGACTATAGCTAGCACAAGGTCCAAGTAACTACCCATCCATAGCACAAGGGACTATAGCTAGCACAAGGTCCAAGTAACTACCCGTCCATAGCACAAGGGACTATAGCTAGCACAAGGTCCAAGTAACTACCCATCCATAGCACAAGGGACTATAGCTAGCACAAGGTCCAAGTACTAGAAAATTATAGCCAGCACAAGGTCCAAGTACTAGAAAAGTATAGCCAGCACAAGGTACTCGTACCTAGCAAACTATAGCTAGCACAAGGTCCAAGTACTAGAAAATTATAGCTAGCACAAGGTCCAAGTACTAGAAAATTATAGCCAGCACAAGGTCCAAGTACTAGAAAAGTATAGCCAGCACAAGGTACTCGTACCTAGCAAACTATAGCTAGCACAAGGTCCAAGTACTAGAAAATTATAGCTAGCACAAGGTCCAAGTACTAGAAAAGTATAGCCAGCACAAGGTACTCGTACCTAGAAAACTATAGCTAGCACAAGGTCCAAGTAACTAGAAAAGTATAGCTAGCGCAAGGTCTAAGTAAATAGAAAAGTATAGCTAGCACAAGGTCCTAGTAACTGAGGGTAAGTATGTAAAACTTTTACTTTTAGGATCCGTGGCTGATGAAGTCATGGCGTATGAGAACCACTCATCCACAGACGTAAAGTTTGGTGGCATGTGGTGAGTGCGGGTGATTTTACAAATGGTTGCCATGTGGTTGTGGATGGCTTGAGGGGATGTTACCCCTGTCGGCTGTGTCCCTTGCTGTTGTCCCACAATAAACTGCAGGTCCTGCACAATGTGAGTTCCTGAGTGAAGAAGAAAAAAATAAATTTCTCTTTAATGCTTGGCTGATTTGATAAAGTCTTTCATTATTAATATGTTTAATCTTAAACTTTGAATACAGTAAACAACCCAATGGGACAGTCTAATACCATCAATCAAATGATGGGACAGTCTAATACCATCAATCAAATGATGGGACAGTCTAATACCATCAATCAAATGATGGGACAGTCTAATACCATCAAACAAATGATGGGACAGTCTAATACCATCAATCAAATGATTCCCTTTAAACTACCCAATTGGACAGTCTAATACCATCAATCAAATGATGGGACAGTCTAATACCATCAATTAACTATTCCATTTATACAACCCAATGATACAGTCTAATACCATCAATCAAACGATTCCATTTAAACTACCCAATGGGACAGTCTAATACCATCAATCAACTATTCCATTTATAAAACCCAATGATACAGTCTAATACCATCAATCAAACGATTCCATTTATAAAACCCAATGATACAGTCTAATACCATCAATCAAACAATTCCATTTATACAACCCAATGATACAGTCTAATACCATCAATCAACTATTCCATTTATACAACCCAATGATACAGTCTAATACCATCAATCAACTATTCCATTTATACAACCCAATGATACAGTCTAATACCATCAATCAAACGATTCCATTTATAAAACCCAATGATACAGTCTAATAACATCAATCAAACTATTCCATTTATACAATCCAATGATACAGTCTAATATAACAAATTCAATCATCTATTTATATAATTATACAATACATGGTCCTTACTAATCTCTACTTCACGTACCTCCTTCTGGGATTTTCTGAGCTTCAGTTGAGAAGTAAATGTATGGGTCTTTAATGTTGAACAAGGCCCAATATTTGGCTCGGAAGTTCACCCCATGAAAGGAGGCCAGCATAAGACCTTGACCTTCCAAAGTCATGGTCCCTCCCAACACCATTCCTTCCGGGGGCAACACCGACGGCAGCATTGAGAACTGGTAGCCCATCAGATGTTCAAGTGCACTCTGCCAATGGCGGTGATGGCGCAGTTCATCCATTACAGCTGAAAGAAGGAAAAAATCCATTATTACCGTCTTTCAGTTTGTGCATGAATTTAACTAAATAATAATCAGTTATTTTTATAAAGCATGGCAAGTGTATCAGAAATCTGTATTCTGTTGTGAGTGAGCTGTAAGTAAAGCAGAAATCTGTATTCTGTTGTGAGTGAGCTGTAAGTAAGGCAGAAATCTGTATTCTGTTGTGAGTGAGCTGTAAGTAAAGCAGAAAGGTTTTAACAATTAACATTTTAATTAAAATTATTAATTAACGGGGAAAAAACAGTTTAAAGTGGAAAATAAAAATCTATATTTTCCTAGCTTCAAGTCTTAATGGCATTAAGATGCTATCTTCACTAATTTCACTTTGTACATCTAGCTCTAATTTGTTAACATATTCTGATCACTTCAGTCGGTTGTTTTGAACATAAACACCACTCCCTGAAATAACATAAACACCACTCCCTGAAATAACATACACACCACTCCCTGAAATAACATACACCCCACTCCCTGAAATGACATACACACCACTCTCTGAATAACATGCATACCACTCTCTGAAATTTTCCTGGGTAACTTATTTTGTGCGCTGCCACTAAATGCTGTTGGATGCTGGAACACCCTGCGACCACTCATCACTTGCTGTGTGAAAAACTCATCGAGCTTGGAGATGATTTTAATGAGGTCAGGGGTCGTCGACCGGGAGATCATGAGGTGAAAATGGGACCAGGACAATTTGCCATTCACAAATAAAAATGCTGATCTGTGAAAGAGAAATGAAAAGTCGTTAAGTACTCTCCTTCTTCTTCTTCTTCTATATCCTAAGGGCCCACGATCAATTTATTGATCATTTTGGCTCCTATGCATGTAGATGGGATTTGCAATGTTTCTGTTACTGGTGGTGATGAGGAAATTATGCACTAGGGGTTTGAAGGCTTGAGGCAATAGACACAAATGTGTCTAGTGTTGTCGCCTCAACTGTTCCTTTTGAAAGATGGTTCCAGTCCCTGATTGTCTTGGGCAGGAATGAGCAGCTCCTATACTGGCTTCTTGCTGGTATGAGCCTGAATTGCCTGTCATGGCCTCGTCGCTGTCTATGGGGGAGAGGGACGAGTTTCTGTTTAATACTGGAACAGTGGACCAGCCCATTATTTATCTTGTACATCATGGAGAGCCTGGATTGTCGTCGTCGTTTCTCCAATGGTGACCAGCCTAGTGTTTCTAGCATGCTGCCAACACTAGAGGTATTCCTGTAGCGGTTTAGGACAAAGCGTGCTGCTCGTCGCTGGACCGCCTCCAACCTGTCAATGCTCTTCTGGGTAAATGGGTCCCAGACTGAAGATGCATAATCTAAAATCGGACGGATAAAGGCTTTATATGCTCTTTCTTTCACACAGGAGTTGCCAATCTTTAGATTTCGCCTTAAGAACCCCAAGGCTTGGTTTGCTTGGTTACATACATTGTTAATATGCTCGTCCCAGCGGACCTCTCTTTGAATGGTAACACCCAGGTACTTTACGGAGGAAACTTGCTCAAGAATATGGCCGTGCAGTTTGTATTGGTAGTGTAGAGGAGTACAACTTCTAGAGATTGATAGTGTCTGGCACTTGGCAGGGTGAAATTCCATGTCCCAGCTCATCTCCCACTCAGCTAACAGATTGAGATCCTGTTGTAGCTGGTCCTGGTCAGATCTGTTGGCGATCGTCCTATACACTGCTGTGTCATCTGCAAACAGTCTTGCCTGTGATGTCAGTTTCTCCGGTAGGTCATTAATGTATGCTAGGAACAAAGTGGTACTGTTGTTTTTGTGTGTGCTGTCACCTACAAGGCACTGGTTAAAGAGTTTTTGTCTGTGCTGTCACCTACTAGGCACAGGTTAAAGAGTTTTTGAAAATTTCTCAGCAGTAAAAAATTTGGTTAGACAAATCACAGTGTCAATCAATTGCGTAACAATCAACTGTAGGTTAACTATTTAGTCTTGCCAGAGTGCTATAGAGTGGAATTTTGTTATAAATGTATCCCTTTCTGCTTGATAACCTTGTAGAAATACAGGACGCCAAACCATTATAAAGAACAAGTAATTCTACAAATTAATATCATTGGATGGACATAAAAAAAATGGGACATACATTTTTTTCAATTTTTGTTAATTCTTAAACTATTAGACTCAACCGTTGGACAGCCACAACACAATACTTGGTCAGACTACAGGGTAGACTACAGGATAGTTGCCACAGTTGGGTCCACTACCTGTTGTTGGCCAGAGATGGGTCCAGTACCAGTTAGTGGCCAGAGATGGCTCCAGTACCTGTTTAAGGCAGGAGGTGGGTATAGTATCTGATGGCGGCCATAGGAGGGTATAGTACCTGTTGGTGGCCAGAGGTGGGTCCAGTACCTGTTAAAAGGCCAGGGTATAGTATAGTACCAGCTTATGGCCAGATGTCAGTCCAGTACCTGTTATTGGCCATATGTGGGGCCAGTACCTGTTAGTGGCCATAGGAGGGTATAGCACCTGTTAATGGCCAGATGTGGGTCCAGTACCTGTTAAAGGCCACAGCATAGTATAGTACCAGCCTATGACCAGCTGTGGGTCCAGTAACTATTAGTGGCCATAGGAGGGTATAGCACCTGTTAGTGGCCATAGGAGGGTATAGCACCTGTTAGTGGCCATAGGTGGGTATAGCACCTGTTAGTGGCCATAGGAGGGTATAGCACCTGTTAGTGACCATATGTGGGTCCAGAACCTGTTAGTGGCCATAGGAGGGTATAGCACCTGTTAGTGACCATATGTGGGTCCAGTACCTGTTAGTGGCCATAGGAGGGTATAGCACCTGTTAGTGGCCATAGGAGCGTTCAGTACCTGTTACTGGCCAGAGGTGGGCACAGTACCTGTTAGTGGCCAGAGGCGGGCACAGTACCTGTTAGTAGCCAGAGGCGTGTCCAGGTCAGAGTTGGTGTCCACATGCCACTCATCTTTCAGTAGCAGGTGGAGATGACTCAGTCTTGTCATGATGATAGAAGATCCCATGTAGTCAAACTTGGTCTCCACCACAGACGTACTCAGGCCTGCCTGGTGGTCAGGGTCTCGGCCAAGGTCAGGGTCTTCACAGACTGAGACTGTTGACAGAGTTCATAGGAGATATCCATGAATACATGGAATACTGTGTCAACAAAAAGATGCCAGGGTCCTCCATGATCAGCAGATGATAGGTAACAGAGTACAATGAACATTTATTGCTAATGTGGTGTATAAAAATTAGATGATAATGTACGAACAAATTCATTAAGGTTGATGTTGTAAGAATCTTTGTGGCTCATCTACCAGATTATGGCCCTCATTACTGGAATAGTTGCAAGAGATTGACCTATTTGGTTGGAAATTAAACTTTACGATTTAAACAGAGGATCAATAAAAAATAAATTTTTTGATACTTCAGTACGCACCTACTGCTGAAGATTTCAATCAACAAGAATTAGTAATCATTTGTAAAGGGTCCTATTGACCGCTGCTGCAGCTGCACAAAAAAGATTTGGTTGTTTCTAGCTTAAGACTTACAGAAGCCGTTCAGATTGTTGACATCAATGGTGCCACCCACAATGCCTCCCTTGGATTCAAACGATGATTTGCCGAAACCTGCATCAATATTCAGGTTCTTGTGCCCACTGCTGTTGATGGATAGTCTCCCCTGAGTCTTCAGGGCTTTGGTTTTCCATCTGCAAAGTCGAACAACTCTCAATTAACACATTTTATCTCCTCAACCCGAGAATTAGATTGAATTACTAAGTAAACAATAACTGTGGCTGTCTGTCTACCTGTACCAGCTCAGTCAGCATTGAATATAGCACTGTATGTTACAAGCAAGAGTATACATTTACATTTGATCAAATCTTGCTCTCTTTACCAATCAATTACAATATGTCTATAAACTCATCAAACTTGTGTCTATAAACTCATCAGACTTGTGTCTATAAACTCATCAGACTTGTGTCTATTATAAACTCACCAAACTTGTGTCTATTATAAACTCACCAAACTTGTGTCTATAAACTCACCAAACTTGTGTCCATGAACTCACCAAACTTGTGTTTATAAACTCACAAAAAATTGTGTCTATAAACCTATCAAATTTGTGTCTATTAACTCACCAAACTTGGTCTATAAATTTATGTGTATAAACTTGTATGTATTTTTAATTTTAAAAATTTAATTTAAACTTGTGTGTATAAACTTGCATACTAGTATACTGGTGTTCCTAAACTTGCGTGTCTTAACTTGTGTGTCTCAACTTATTTGTGTAAATTTTTCTGTCTAAACTTGTTTGTCTAAATTTGTGCGTCTAACTATGGTGTCAAAATTTGTCTGTCCAAACTTGTGCATCTAACATTTTGTGCATCAACTCACTCTGTATTGCCCATGACATTGGCCATGTTGACCTCCAGGTTAAGCTGAGCCAGGTTGACAGCAAAGAGAACCAATGTCTCCCATGAGCTGCTGATGTTGGGCGGAGTGGTGGGAGAGCCAGAGTTGGATGCAGGAGTTATGCCCCCTGCAATACTATGGCGGTGGCGTGGCATGTCAGGGGATGAAATGGTTCTTGATTTCTTGCGATGTGCAGACGATTCTCTACTGGGCAGGTCATTTTGTGCTTGATGGGATCGTGATGTGTTACGTCCTGATCAAATATTTGGTATAGAGAATTATGTCATTTTAAGAAACTGATATTTTATTATGATTATACTTTCATTAACTTCTTATTGACATTATCAAAGCTCCTCTTTAAAAAAAATATTAAGAGACACAATTCGAAAAAAAAATTAAGCAGACGCAATTAAAAAGAATGTCGTCTGTTCAGTATTTTCAGTGATCAGCAAACTGTGGCTCGCGCAAGCCCCATGTGGATCTTTAGCGATCTGAAAGTGGCTTGGCCAGGCTGCCACAAATCGGTTTTGACTCTGAAAAGCACGTTTCTTGACAGGTCCTTGAAAAGAAATTTGGCTCTCAAACAATTTTTAATCATCCTGCTGCTGATTTTTGGCTCTTTTGACTAATGAGTTTGCCGACCACTGAGTTAGTCCAATGTAAGTACAGCGATTGCACTGATCCTTCCCAAAAAAACAACAAAAAAAAAACCATTATATTTTCCAATATTAATGTTGTCTGTGCCAAGCTGGTGATGTATTACAAACAATGGAAACCATTACTTTTGGTTTCCTCTGATGATGTGATTTTCAGTACCTAGTATGAATAAGATGAAATGTCAACAAATGTTTTGACCTCAAGGAACATCACTGTAGCTATTACTTCACATCACTAGAACTTTTTCATTGTCAAACTGACTTGATAGGAGCTTACAGTTTGAGCCAATCAAACTCATTTTATTGAAAATAAAAAAGAATTCTATACAAGGTGAACTCTGCTGTGATATTCTGCTCAGGTGCTGTAATGTCTCCCCCATGTGCTACCATTCTAAGATTGTAATGCTTCCTTCCTGTGATGTCTCCCCCATGTGCTACCATTTTAAGATTGTAATGCTACCTTCCTGTGATGTCTCCCCCATGTGCTACCATTCTAAGATTGTAATGCTACCTTCTTGTGATGTCTCCCCATGTGCTACCATTCTAAGATTGTAATGCTACCTTCCTGTCATGTCTCCCCCCATGTGCTACCATTCTAAGATTGTAATGCTACCTTCTTGTGATGTCTCCCCCATGTGCTACCATTCTAAGATTGTAATGCTACCTTCCTGTGATGCCCCCCATGTTCTACCATTCAAAGATTGTAATGCTACATTCCTGTGATGTCTCCCCCTTGTGCTACCATTTTAAGATACTAATGCTACCTTTCTGTGATGCCCCCATGTGCTACCATTTTAAGATTGTAATGCTACCTTCCTGTGATGTCTCCCATGTGCTACCATTCTAAGATTGTAATGCTACCTTCCTGTGATGCCCCCCATGTTCTACCATTCAAAGATTGTAATGCTACCTTCCTGTGATGTCTCCCATGTGCTACCATTCTAATATTTTAATGACCTATTTATGAGTCTGATTTCATTTTGAATAAAATTACATGTAAAATTAATTCTATGATTTGATCATACATGCCTTCCTGTCCAGGTTTACCCATACTTTGCACATTTAAAAAAATGATTTTTCCAGTTGCAAAGGTTTAAAAAAAAAATAAAAAATTATGTTTTCCCAGTTCTACAGGATTTTGTCAAATATTCATTTAAGTGCTTGCTTAATTGCACATTTTAAAACATAGTTGAACAAATGAAACTTAGAGGCAATGAAGGGAGATGCTGCCTCTGTCAAGACCCTTTTTTTATCTACATCATTATGTAGATCTATCAGATTAAGTTACAAGGACAGAGATCTCAATAGCAAAATGTCTTGCAATCCCATTTGTTTTACAGTGCAAAATTAACAATGAAACTTGTTTGAGCTATTAAACTTATCCAGAAATTATCAAGAAGCCAAAGCTTGCATCATTTCAAACCATTGATAACAAAAAATAATTTCTGTACGTTTTCTTGCTGTTGTACAGTTTTTGTGTGACTTTTTTGTACATTTTTTGACCCAGCAGGTTGGCATGTATGGATATGATGCATGTTGCATCTTTAAAATAATTGTACTCAAATTATGGGCAGACTACATTTGGAAAACACCACTGGAATTATATTAATATTAGATTCAGCTTCCGCAAACTTTACTCAACTAAACATAAGATTTTTAAAAAAAAAACACATTTTTACCAAATCAAACATACTACTCAAGACTGAAAGCCAGCAAACAGCAATGCATGCAAGATATGGATACAACATCCTAGCGCTTACTTCCTGCAGTACTCCCATGCAATGGTGCCCTTACAGCTCAAAGACATTTAATGCCTTTTTTAAAAATTAATTCATTTAACCTGTCTTAAAATGTCAAGGGAAGAAAAAAATGATAAAAGTTCAGACCTCTCCTGGTGGCTATTTCTGTCTTAAACTCTGGACTGAGCTGGATCCTAACTTTGTCGCCAGACGAGCCGCGGCGGTGATGCTTTTTCAGAGGCTTTGGGGTGTTTATCACATTGAGGGACGGGTGGGACGAGGAGTTTTGGGACATAAACAAAGGACGCTTCGGCTGGTCGCCGGGTAAGGAAGTGAGGGAATCAGGTTCTGAAATGGTCAATGGTCAGTTCATGAACATTTTGATGGGTGCAATCCAATGCAGGACTCAAAGCTGAACATTTAAAATAATATTGAGTCTAGTGACTGGTTATTTCTATAATTAAATTAATTAGCAACTATGAACTAATGACCAGCAGAGTTAATGACAGGAAATAAGAAGTCAGACACCAAGACACTAAGACACTAAAACAACATTATCAAAACAATAACTTTGATTTCTAAACAGAAAAATATTTGAGACAAGCAAGTAACTAAAAATTTAAATGTACAGTTATTCAGCATTACACATTAGAGGATAGCTTGTTAACACATACACAAACATGCAGATTATTATAGTTGATTTTTGTGTGTTGGTGTGCTGCAGTGTTGATAGGGCATTACCAAGTGGTACAGCACTCTTTTGTTTTACTATCTAAATCATTGTGGACTCAAAATAATTTTTAAAAAGATGATTTAAGAAGAATCATTTATAAATATAAAATTTACAAAATCTGAACTCCCTGTAAATATTTCTTTATAAACAAGCTTCCATGTGCTGCCCATGAATGTGTCTTTTTTGTAAACTAATGATTGTTAATGACTTCTCATGAGTGTATTCAATTTATGTCTGGAGAAATGCAAGTCAGTCAAAGTGTGAAGCACTGAAGTGGTAGATTAAAATTTCAGTTTTGTTCATTTTTTTAAACAGTCAAAATATATTTGTCATTCTTCTAACAATACCTCTATTTTCTCTTTCTTTTTTTTTTTTTCAAACCATGACAGTAAAGTTCAGATCAGACCAGAGAGGACTTATCTTACACATCCTCATGGATGTTGTTTTACCCACAATAATTTAAACACTACACAAGTTAACAAGCTTTTTTAAAACTTTTTTAGTTTAAGGAAAAGTTGAGCAGATAAGCTTTTGAACATTGTGAAGGTGTAGCAAAAATTTCATCAGGGTGTTCTCTTACCAAGACATCAGCTAGTGTCTACAATAATCATAAGCCATATTTCTGACAAAGCTAGTGCCATCATCGACAAACACACAACAGATTTTGGTGAGATCATAGAAAATGGAGGAAGTCATGCAAACAGTCTCAGAAGGAATGTTCTAAGTTACGTCAACGGATCCGAAACAGGAAGTCATGCCAGACTCACCCTCCCCTTGTGCAAGGTTGATGCTCTCGTCACCAAGAAACAGGCGGCGCGCCAGAGTTCGCCGATACCAAGCTTTAGGCAAGGACAGGATCTCAGACAGCCGTCGCATATCGTACTTGAAAGACGCCGTGCCGACGTCACAGATGGCTGCAATGACAGACACAACAATTATTCACAAGTTGTTATTGATTCTTTTCTTACCGTCTTTTTTATCTTAATTTGGATTGACATCAATTCTGATGCTTGAAAACAATGAATGGTGCCAACAGGGAATGTTCAATAACTGTCACACTATTTGACAGGTCTTCATTTTTTTTAAACCAATGAAAAACAAATGAATTGACAATCAATAAGTCAAACATTTTTACTTCTCAGTCATGGAAAGAGGACGGCTACAAAATGTTCAATTTTTCTCATTCAACAATTAAAATTGAATAAATTATTTTAACATACTCTCAAAACTCACTATTTTTTCTTGCTAATAAAGGAAATAAATATGAAGGATTGGCTGTAAGTAAGTGAAATAAAAATATAAGACAATATTAACACTTGGTTCGTACATAACAGTTGCAAATCTGAAATGTTGGAACACAGCAGCCGAAGAATATTTATTTCTTTGATGTCTCTGTATTCAAGTAAGGTTAAATTTGGTTAAGATAAAATGCATGTACCAGAAAATCTGACAGCATTTGATCTGGTTTGCTGCTCTCCCTTTGCTGGGTTTTCATTAGGTTCACTGTAGCGTTCCAGCTTGCGAGTCCTTGAAATGTTAACGCGTATGAATTCGACGTTCAAGCTCAGAGAGTCACGGCGTCCCATATCATGGATGGCACTGCCAGCATTTTCAGATATACGATCTGTATGAGAGAAATAGTTTATCACATAAAAGAAGAGCAGCATTTAATTTCAGCTTGTTGAAAATGAAACATTTTCTCTACCATTGGACCACACATCATTAAAATTGCCCTGGAACACTGGATGAAAGCCGATTACCTCAAACTAATAAACAATGTGTTGATATTACAAAACAGTGCAACAAATCATTATTACTGCCCCATTAAATCAGCTTAACTTCAATTTATAAAAATATCTATATAATGCCCCGCTGAAATAACGATTGACATAATGCTCATAACTTCTAAACCCCTCCTATCCCCCCCACCTCCTACCTAAACCAGGTTGACTCCTGAATGTTGGGGAATCGGAGGTTCCAGCAAATCGCCTCTGCACGCCGGTCCCGTATGGATGGAATATGTACAGGGAAAAGTCTGATATGCAGCCTGTGACACTCAGACCCCCAGAGCTGGAGCCTGGGTAGAAGGAAGTGTCAGACATGCCACTGGTGTGTCTGGTTCTGGCTGATGACTGGGCGTTAGCACTGCTGGAAGGGGGTGGCTTGGCTGGAACAGATCAATTCAACAATAAAAGTTTAGAGAAGACAGTTTCACTTATGTACAAAGATATAGCATAGCATTTAAATGACACATTTTTTTTTAAAGCTTTATTTGATATCCCTTGAGAATAGACACACATAAAATAAATCTACATAAGTGTTGAGGTCATAAGAAAATGGTTTTGACGGATTACAAGAAAGCTACCAAGGGCCTGTTTCAAGAACACATTATTTTGAATGGCTTGGTGTTGTAAAGCAGCAGTTTTGAACCAAAGTGTTGGTACACATTCTACAAAAGCTTTTGGGGCTTTTATCTTAGTAAAGAAGATGTGATCCAAAATATCATCCAGCAATCCACACAAAAAGATTCTTACCAGAATCTGCGATTTTTTGATACTTGAATGATGCATCGCAGCATTTCATTCGTTAGCATTAGCAGGATTTCATGAGTTAGCATCAGTGGGTTGTAAACATTTTTAATGTGAAAACCAATGTTGTCAAGGAAGGTTTATTTCATGTTTATCTTTACAAGTGTGCATCATCTCATTTTACAATTAAAATATTTTAAAACATTAACATTTTTTTGTTTAAAAGACTGCAAGACAAAATAAATTGTCACCCCTAATAATGTTTGAGACAATTTGTTATTTTTTACTTCAATTTTTTGTTTTAAAAGAGACAGCAAGACAAAATAAATTGTCACCCCTAATAATGTTTGAGACAATTTGTGATTTTTTACTTCAATTTTTTGTTTTAAAGAATTTTTATACTCTAAAAAAATTGATGGGCTTATAGAATATTCATTTAATTATAATCATTTGCTTCAATGTCAATGCCTATCATATACTAGAATATATGACCCAATGTTACAGCGATAGAAATAGCAGAAATTTTGTGATATTTTCTACCTGCTTTCGAGAAAACTCATCAGAATGTTTTTAAAAGAAGTATATTTGTAATGATGTTTACGATTTTAACATTATTTACTTTTGAGAAATATTTATCTGCTATATATCCACCTGCCCTACCCCTTTTTCTGCCCCTAAACTCCATTTCTTTTCTTTAAAAATTGTAAAACATGAAGTTTAATTTATACAAAGAAATTATGTAAAATATTTTTTTAATATTCTAAATTATCCGAATTTGATATACTGATATCTTCATTAAAAAATTTAACCAAACTTTTACCTTGTTTTTCTACTATATTATCGGAAAGTCGTAAAACAAACAATTCTTTATCTAACAAAGAATCTCGTAACCGTTTTTCAAGTCTGTAACAGCTTTGATTGTTTTCTTTTTAAAAACGAAATGTTACCAATCTCATAAAAATATACACCCACTTTACTTTTCTCAAAGTAAAAACACAAATTTATTTTCATTTTTTGAAAGAAAATCTTAACCCATCGTTGTTCACGCCCATGAATGGTCAAGTAAAAAAAAAATATGGTTCTATATTTAAGATTACATTTTCATGTGAGAAAAAGGTTGGGTTTTGATACTCTTTTTTTGAGGTACTGGTATACTAAAATTCTGGTGAATGAACTTAAACTGACCCCAATTCGGCTTCGCTAATATGGAGTGGCTTGCTAAATATAGTCTCCCTTTGACTTCGGTTACAACTTACTACAATCTATGGTCTGTTTGTTCTTAGAATTTTGTAGAATTATGTATAAGGTTTGAGAGACGATTACAATGCGTAGTCCTTCTCGAAGTATCTATGAAACAGGCTATATAAAGCCGAGAGATTGAGCAACAGGAGGCAGATTCAGAGACGAGTTATTTTGAGCGTGTGCTATTGTTTTGCTATACGAGATAGAGATTTGACTATTGTGTGTGTGTAGATTCCTTTTCATCACTGTACATTTTTACAACATTGTATCTTCTTCGACACTGTACCGGTACAACCCAATCATTATACTGTGAGTCAACAGCTTTAATTTTATTTCTTTTGTTTTTTTAATTTATAAGTAACATAACAAAATTTATTAATTGTAATTAGCCCTGGTTTGAGTATCGTATGCTTTGCTGTTGTTTTTAACATTATGGTATTGTCTTTTATTGTGGACTGTTTTAGAACGAGCCATACACTTAAATAAGAGATTAATTTCTCCGTACTGATAACATTACGCAACACACATGCCGTTATTAAATCAAAGAAACTTAAAGCTTTCTTTTGAAAGTTTAAATTTTGCTCTTTTGAAATTAATATAATTTTTCTTTATTTGAGTTCAATCGAAAATTTTAATTTGATATTGTTTGAAGACATTTTGATAAAATTTAAAAAAATTTAATTTAATTTCACTATATTAACAAAACACTAAAAAAACAACAGATATCTGGGTTTTACCAATAAATATGCTTATGATTTAATAAAAATAATTCTTAGATTATTTGATTTATTGATTAAAAAAATATGTAATAATTTTCAAATTTGGATAAAATGCTTAAAATAGTTCTTAAATTGTTATTTTAAATGTATTTGGAATTAATAATAATAATTAAGTTTATACTAAAATAAAAGCTGATATATTTTATTTTTTGCACATTTAAATTTATTCCATTTCCGTAAAATAATAGAAAATCCCTATCATTTTTAGAATCCGAATGTATTTAAATTAATTAACTTCTTTAGTGTTACATGGATACCCTAGCTCATTCTTATATATACATATATATATATATATAACAATACCCAGTAAAAAATAAATGACTATTCCTTTTTTCTTCCAAAGAAATCTAAATTGAATAAGTGAGGGATTTATATGAAATATATCAAACTGACCTTTTCCAGACTTTGGCATCTGTGTGTTGTCAGGCAGCATGCCTTCATTGATGTCAGTCTTCTTGGTGGAGAAATACAAGTCCAGGGATGGCACCTGCAGGAGGCACTCCACACGAGACACTGGGTGACAGTTGAATCGGATGAATGATGGGTCAACCTGAAACAGTCAGTGAGACATGTTAAGTGACAGATGAATCGGATAAATGATGGGTCAACCTGAAACAGTCAGTGAGTAATGTTTCTTCTAGTTTTGACCATCATATTTAATAACAGATTTCGAGGGAAAAACAATGTAAGCCTACTGCAATTGTTAAAAAATACCAATATGTCAGTTCTAGTATATGTGTAAATAATTGATAATCAAGAGATCGAGTGTTGACCCACGTAAACATATATCACCACATCAACAGGGAAATTGTTGACTAACATAAACGTGTATCACAACATTAACAGGGAAATTTGTTGACTTACTTTAATGTGTACCACCACATCCACAGGGAAGAAAGCCATGGACTGTTGCCCAAGGGATCCCTGAGATGCATCCAGGTCCATATTGTTGACAAGACTGTCCATCATATCTAAACAACAAAATTTCATTTCAGAATCATTCATCAAAATAACACTAAAAAAAGTATTATGAACAAATTAATTTGGATGAAACTAATATAAACAAGTTAATTTGGATGAAATTAATATAAACAAGTTAATTTGGATGAAACTAATATAATCAAATTAATTTGGAAGAAAGCATTAACATTTTCTACTTAGATCAAAACTGTCATTTGTCAAGACATGTCCACAAACCTCGTTTTAGAATAGATGGGGATGAGCTGGTTGTGATGGGCAGGGGCTCAAGGGCTTGTTCCAGGAAGTCTAAAAAGGTCGGGCTGATTATCATTTCCTAAACAACAGAAAAAATTCACTTGATTAATTAAAGTGTACACAAAAATATATATATTAATGAGGGATGAAAGTTAGACCTTTCCCGTGATTGAAAAAAACCCAAATATAACCAGATAGTATGCTGAGACAAATCACCAGGCTATGGCAAGTTATTCTGTAGCTAGAACACCAGCTATGTAGACAGTCTTGTTAGGAAATTAACTGACTCACCTCGGGGAGGGTCTGCAGTGTGAACCAAGCATACAGACTGGCCTTCTTCAGCTGGCCTGCCCTCCTCGGACTGCCCGAGTCCAGTGAGAATGTGGACTCATCTTTACAAGGTTGTTGGAATGGTGGGCTTGTCACGGTTATCTCGGGAACAAAAGGATGTGGTCTGCTGACACCCACTGTGGTGGTCTCTGGCTCTTCATATATGGTAGAGTTTGTACATATGTATGTTGTATGGTCTGTCTTGGAATTGTAGTGAACCTTCAGAGGCAAAAATTACCGTATTTATTGGCGTAAAACACTCACTTTTTCTCCCTGAAAATAGGGGGCAAATGATGTGTGTGTGTTATACGCCGATATAATGTTTAGTTTTTTTTCCTGAAATTTCCTTCTTAAATTGAGGTGCGTGTTATACGCCAATAAATACAGTATCTACAATATTTTTAAATATACCACAAAACAGTAAATTAATACAAAAAAATATTTTAATCTATTCATTAATTTTAAAACTACATCTTATATAAAAGGGAATGAGCTGTGTAAACTTCTTTCACTAACAAAATTTTTAAGGTTTAATCTTCTCAGTATTTGTTAATGGTGGTTAGTGAATGGATGTTTTGGATATGGTGTTTTTTGAAAGGGCGACATTTAGAAACACACCTGAGAAAAGGTCCTACAGTACCAAACGTTATTACATTAACAGCAACACTTGTGTCGGTGCACACTGAAAGTTTACAATTACCTTAACAGCAACACTGGGAACAAAAAAGATGGTGGTGTCAGGGTTCACAGAAAGTTTCCTCTGACTAGAGATGCTAGCTCCAGAGGCTTCTTTCTTCAGCTTGCGTTTGGCATTAGGAGATGTCTGCAGGTTGGGCTCAGGGGCTGTCTGTTTTTCTTTCTTAGCAAATCTTTTTGGTAAAAGATATCAAATCATTTTGAGCAGTAACAACAAATTTTTTTTATCAATTTATTAAAAGCCAAAAAAAAAAAAAAAAAAAAAAATAAAATAAAAAAAAAAATAAAAAAAAATCTCAATGCAGTTAAAGAAAATAAAGAGACATTATTAGTGCATATTTTTTAAAGATATTATTCCAATAACTGTCTACATTTGTTAATGCTGCACTAATCCTTACTTTCTGACTTCTTCCTCTTTGGCTTCCTTCGGGTACAGAACACATTTGCCACTGTCAATGAAGACTTTGACGTCCAACTCAAAGTCAATGTTCTGCTCTGCAAGCTTGTTGGAGCTGATGGACCCGGTGTCTTCAGACTTTTTCTTTCTGCTGTATTGGATTAACACAAAACATATGTATGTAACAAGAAATTGATAGCTCACAACATTATGCTGGAGTGGAGAGGACATTAGTTTATACTTTTAACCCTAGTTTAACTGTATACCTCTTCTATGGTATACCCTCCAATGAGTTTAAGTTATATACCTCTTGGTATAGTATACTTCTCATAAGTTTAACTTGCATAGTATACCCTCCCTTAACCTGTTATAGTATACCCTCTCATGAGTTTAACTTGTATGGTATACTCTGCCATAATTGAACATCTATACCTCTTGTATGGTATACCCTCATCGGGTTGTGACTCTGATCCAGAACTTTGAATGGCCTCAAGTGACCTTGACCTATGTTTTCCTTGAAAGAATGGATCACTGTCTTCATCATCCTCATCGTCAGACACATAGCTAGAGTAATGTCCGGGAGTGCTAGAAATACAAACATAGCTAGAGTAATGTCCGGGAGTGCTAGAAATACAAACATAGCTAGAGTAATGTCTGGGAGTGCTAGAAATGCAAATAGGGCTAGAGTAATGTCCGGGAGTGCTAAAAATGCAAACATTTACATCAGAAACTTAAATAATATCCCGATAAATAATCTCACACTGAAGTCAAAATTTTCTGTCAAATTTTCTGTCAAATTATAAAATCTTAAGGTTTGGACAAATTGGTTCACTAAATAATTCTTTATCATCTTGCTCACCTGGGAGGTGTGTAGGTGTTTAAATGAGACCCAGAGAAGGAAACTTTTGGGATTCTGCTGAGGTCTTCAGACTGCCGCCTGTTCTTTGTTAAATCTGCTTCTGTGACAGTATGTCGATCCGAGTGTGACCTGGTCAGAGAATAAATACATGCTTTTTTTCCTTTTCATTCTGTTGTTAATTTATACGATATCCAAAAAATAATGAGATTCCTGAAAATACTCGATATCTTAAAACTCTTAGTATATCAATAAATAACTTTCATAGTTTTGTCGATATCATTCTCTTTTTCTTTTTCTTTTACACATTTGAAGATGAAGAAAATACATTTCTTGATTAATTGACCTCTTCAGAATGGGTACTTATTTCCAGAATATTAGCAGAGCTTTGCATGAGTTGACAAGAAGCTAGAATGGTGTGCAGTATAAAAAACCTACTTGGCAAGACGTCTTGGCCCAGCAGATTTGGATCTTAGGTGAGATAAGGGTCTTGAGCTTAGTCCTAATTTATCTTTAATCAAACTTGCCTGGAAATTATGAGAGAAAAAAAAATAACACAAGTTTTTTTCTACTGTTTTGCTGGAAAGGCAAATAGTACAACAATTTACAATAAACTTTCAGCCATATCTTCCGCCACAAAAAGAACCACTTACTACCATAGCTTATCTCCTTGTAAGTAATGACTGGGACAACATATACTTTGAACTCAATGTTTTAATCACTTATCTCACCCTGTCTCCTTTCCTTTTCAGCATTTCCAGGAAATCCCTTCTAAAATCCTGGAACAAGAGAGTCTGTAAATCTTCCAGTTTTTTTCTCTCAATGTCAATAGTTGCCTCAGTGGCTCCACATTCTCTGGAATAAACAAGTCATCAGTTTGTCAGCTGGTGGAGAGACACTTACGAAGAACAAATATAACAAATAATTTATCAGCAAGTTTACAAGTATTTACAGACAAAAAATTTTTCTATGACTTTTATCAGCTAGAGTACAGATTAGAGACTGACCGAATTTCAGCTTCGGTGCCGAAATTTGCCATTTGATCAATTTCTGCCAAGTTTTGGTTTCAGCCAAAAAAGAAAAGTTAACTTTCCGTTTCGTCCAAAATAGAAAAGTTAAATTTCGGTTTAATTTCGGTTTCTGCCAAAAGTGATTGAGACTTTCAGCCATCTACCAGAAATCAGACTGTCTGTCTCTAGGCCGGCAATCTGATATTCCTTATTGCTTGAAGTCTTGCTGTCATGGTATATTATATGACTAATACTCTGTGAAAACTGCTCACAGCTGCATGATGACCTAATTGTCCTTTATTTCCAAAAAATTAAATTTAAATTAAGCCGAGTCAAATGTAAATAGTTTTGTGGAAGAAAAACTAATGGAATAGTACTATTTAAATCACTATTTTTGTTTTAATTTTTTCAAAAAAATTTAGGGCGAAATCAGAAAATCCCTTTTGGTCGGTCTCTAGAACAGATATATAAGAGACATAAATATTGCATGCATCACTGTGATTTGATATTTAATGAACAGAATAGAAAAACGAATAAACTCCCCTATGAGGGAAGACATTGGCTTTAGCATGTAATTTTAAAAATTCAAAGGAGAGCAGGATAAACATCCCATTGGCTGCCATTAGGATAAATGACTTGGTTATTCAGTCCCAGGTGAGGCTCACGACATTTAGCTATAGCCTTTAACGGTCACAATTCTAAACAAATATTAATCCATCAACACTTTACTTGAGCTCTTGGACAATCTTGGCTTGTTCATTCATCTCTCTCTCTATCTTTCTTGCTCTCTCTTTGGGGTCAAAGTTGTCGGAGAAGATTTCCTCTGGTAAGATGTCTGACGCCAGACTTGTGCGCCTTTTCAGCTGTAAATCCTAGAGATGGTAAAATGGAGGATAAACTGGATGTCTGACACTGGACTTATCTGCTGTTAGAGATGTGTGTCGGTTGTATATTAGCTTTTAATTCACATGTAACTTTTGTGTAGCGTAGATTAGGCTTAAATGAGAAAGAAATTCACATGTTATTTTTGTGTTTATTCCCTTAGTCACTGAAATACTGATTACTTTGCAGATTATTTAACAGGGTAAAATTTCATTTCAAAGATTAACCCAGCAATGAGTTCAGTGATTTTTTCCCTTCATGTCGTAATCAATTCATATTGACTGACAAGCACAAGGATATATAGAGTTTGAACAATTTCGGAAAAAATAATTTAACAACAAAAAAACCTTCAGAAAGATTATTAAGGATAAAATAATCATCGATTGGTCCAAATAATTATGACATGCTTTTACCTCCTCACTGTTCTCCTGAGTGTCCGGACTACTCAAATCGACTGCATCGTCATCATCCTCATCAAAATCTCCGTCAACATCATCTCCAAGTTTGACAGGATGTGTGCTGTCTATGCCATCATCGGAGTCTCCGGCCAACAACGTCAGTGTGTGACCCAGCAGGGTGAACCTCTTTCCAATATCAGTGTCCAGGTGGACGTCGATGCCCTTCATGTCCCACTGGACGTTCAGAATCCACTTTGCATTTCCACTGTTTGTATCTGGTGAAGGAAACTACAAAATCAGCTTCACAAAATGTGTTTGCTTTCAGGATTTAAAAAAAATCAATTCCATAATAATTGATTGATATACATATAAACATATTGATGCATTGCTATCTCCTTTGAAAGTTACCACCGATAACCTCTGATCATTTGAGATGTCTTGTTCAACAGTCTCAGATACTATGCCAGCCTCACCTTGTTTGTTGATAGTCCTAGAACAGACTTCGTAGGTCCCAGACGGAACGTTGCACTGGTTCATTACAGTTCCATTATCTGTTGGCCAGGGTTTCCAGTCATCCCAGGATGATCCAAAGTCATCAGCAAACCGCAGGCAGAAGTCTGGAAAATTGAATGTCTGGGTGCTCAATCAATCTCATTAAAATATAGCTTTTGCATTATACAACTTATCAATTGGTCGAATTTTTTGATTATAGAAAAAGGAAATGCTATGAAGTGATTGGATTTACAAAACTGTTTTAAATTTCTAGGGAGAAGAGGTCAAAATGTTGAGGTTTAAAGTACACTGACTTTTAAACTTGCCCTTGCTGACCAGAGAGCCAGAGGAACAAGCAGATATTTGTGTGCTTTCCACAGTTAACACCAGAGCCGATCCCTGGTCTGCTTCAGCCACTCTGGGAGACTGTAGGCCTGGCCCAGGGTTGGGAATTGGCTGAGGACAACAAAAATAGGATCTAGTTTTTATTTCAGCTGAAATGGAATGAGTTTTTATAACATGAGAAACTTTTACAATACTTTGCTGGTATGTTAAGTATATTAAAGAGTTTTTAATAAGCATAAAAGATATCAAGCTTATTATGATTTACATATTACCTGATATGGTGATGACAATAATGGTACACAAATGCCCATGTCATCAACAGTCAGCTGCAGGAACAATGTTGTGATGGAGGGGGCTGTAGTCGGGGCAATGTGGGGCAACTTGTCCATCACCTGGCGTGTTGCGGTCAGAACCTTAAAATACATATGACCAAGAAGGCACTGAGAGCCACAAAGAAATGGACTAGAATCATACAAAGTTCTACAAATATTTAAATAAATGGAATAGGCTGAATAATGAAAATAATTTAATAAATGGAATAGGTTGAATAATGAAAATAATTTAATTAATGGAATAGGTGAATGTTAACAGAATAATCAATTCATTAATGGTAGGCCCTCAAATATAGAAGAAATATAGAAGAAGAATATTTTTAAAAAATATAATAGGCTGAATAATAACAATATTTTAAAAATATTTGCATGCTTTTCGTTTAAAAATTTTGTCCTTCCACCAAATTTTCCGCAACCAAATAAACAAGTAGCTAAAGCCATTGATCCAAACCCACCTCTTTGTTTAGTGCCATTCTCTGTTCTGTCCAATACTCATAGGCATTTTTGTAGTTGAGCCAAACCAACACAGCTGGATCAACAATAAAGTAACAAGTAAATTTAAACAGTGGTATGTACATTCATTTTAGTTGAATGCTATAAGGATGCTACTTACGATCTCAGAGACATTCATCTCTTAAACTTTATAACAATCAAGGCAAACTAATTCAAAGAGAGAAACTATTAAAAATGCTGAATAAAAAAAATTTAATTACACTGATTCACTCTCTTGATACCTGTTCTATTCCTGTTAAATATTGAGAATAACGAGAACTAATTAAACTCACAACTATAATTAGTAACTGTGGCCTAGAAACACATACCTTTGTCAAAAGCCAACGGTTGAGCCAATATGATTGGACGGAATAGATTAATAAGCAGTGCCTCTTGGTCTCTGGAGAGGTTTGGTATCATCTCATGCTACGGTGGAGAGTAATAAAGTGAGATGTTACTCTATAGAATAGTTTACTGAAGACAAGTAGACTAAATATCACAGTGAGAGATTCTATAGAATAGTTTACTGAAGGCTAGTGGACTAAATGTCATAGTGAGATGTTATTCTATAGAATAGTTTACTGAAGACTAGTAGACTAAATATCACAGTGAGAGATTCTATAGAATAGTTTACTGAAGGCTAGTGGACTAAATGTTATAGTGAGATATTCTAGAGAATAGTTTACTGAAAGCTAGTTTGTTCTGAAATATTAATTGTAAAGTAAGAAATTATCTACAGCAGGGGTTCTGAATCAGGGATGCTCACATTGCTTGAGGAAGTTTAAAGAGTAAGGAAAGACCCGGAAAATAATCTTAAAAATTAAAATTCTTAGCATTTTCAATCATGGGGAAATATATCTTGAAATCAAGATGGGGGTGGGGGATATGTTTTGAAATCAAGAGTGGGGTGTAGCTTCACAAAAATTTCAAAAACCCCCCGATCCACGGAACAGCTTATTGAAGAATTGTGTGATAAGAATTAAAGATCATAGTAAGACAGACCTGCAAAGCATTTCTAACTTTGATGGTGGTTTTAAAAAATGCCATTGTATGAAACTCTGGTTCAGCTTCTTCAAAAACAGGATTCTGTGAAAATTGAGTAATGGCAAAATCTTATAATTTATTGTATTTAACACAAGAACAGGCCAGTATGAATCTATCATAACATACACAAACACATTTCATGGGTCATTTTGTGCTTTTAAGTGATTATCGTCATGTTGACCCTCTGCCCCCAAAAAATATCTAATAGTTGATGTCTCAGATCTCCTCTATCTGCTATAACAAAAGAAGCTGCTACATGATATGAGACCTGGGCAAATCTAGTCCAAACAAAATTTTTTCAATCCAGATTTTCTTCTTATTTTTTAAGTACACATAAAATAAAATACTGTTTTGTATTATCTGATTATAAAAGAGTATTTAACTCTCAAAAGACTGTAGATTTTTCCATTTTTTAATGACCTTGAAAATATCTTATTCTTCAAAGTGTCTCATGACTGTAATTTTGTAGCTACCTCCAAGTATTACAAATCATTTTAAAGGTAATTGGACGCTCTTTAATTGATACTTGGTGTTTGTTCAAAATATCCTTGCTAAATTTGATGTTTTATTATTTTTAGGCAAAAAAACTTTTTTTTTAAGTTGACAAAAACATAACATCACAGTTTTACAAAGAAGGAAAAAAAAAGTGTTTCCAATTAAATCAATAAAATTGATAATTTATTAGAATGTGTTCAATACTATAAAACATATTCAAATTTCAAAAGAATAGACTCATAAATAAAAAAGTTATGACTATTTGTAGGCAACA